CTAGAGGAATACTGGATTATTGTTAAGCATGTACTCAAGTAGTGAGATTATATGCTGGTATATTCTAGTGGGAGTCATGAAAAGCTGAGTTTTCATAAATTCAGTTATTTCAAGTGGATATTGACTCAAGAAAATCAACATCGAGCTATAAGTTTTACTCAATTAGGATAGGAATAAAGGTGGATCTTGTAGACCCAGTTACTAAGAGTTTGCCTGAACTTGTGTTCAAGAGACATGTTACTTCTTTGGGTCTTAGGAGGATCCCAGACTTGCATTAAGCAAGTGGGAGTTATTAGTTTCATTGTACTCTTGGAGTAAGACAATGAAACAATAAAATCATTTTCTGAATTTCATAAATAAGGTTTTATTTATTTATTTTGCGCACTATTTACACACATCAAGGTCCGGATCAAATTGTGGAGTATATGATCATATGGATACGTTCATAGAGGACATGATCATAGGTTCTCACAATTGATGAATGGATTCACAACCGTTAAATAAAGTTGGACACTTTATTTAGGCTTCAATATTTTATGAAATTGTTTTGTCCGGATCATTGTAAAATATTGGTGTGAATTAACATTCACATTGAAAGGATCAAGGAGAGATTTGATTAAGGTTGTTTTTCTGTCATAAGGTATCAAATCTCCAGTTAACTATAGTTATGTGATTGCTCTTAATCCTGAGTTTATTATAAATAGATAATCAAATAGTTTTCATTCTTTGATTTACCAACGGGTGAGGTTCGATCTATTGACGGCCAATAACTCGATATTTTGGGAGTGAGATTATTTGATTATCGGTATTTATGAGATAAACAACATGAAATTTGTAGGATATGTCCCCTTGATATGTTTCGGTACTTAGATATTAAAGACACTGGCCAGTCCATGTAATCCATTAGAGAAACTATCATAGTCAAGTGAATAAACAATTGACTAGGTTACAAAAAATTAATCAATCAAATATAGACATTCTGTAAAGGGGCAATGCATATTCATGTTATAAAGGTCATTAATCTTAGAGTTCACGTTCGGGCTTTTGGTGGAGTAACGCTGAATTAGATAATCTTTCAAAGATTATCAGGAGCCTTGATGAGTGACAAATGGTAGATCCCCAGGCTAGCTTGAGACAAGGGATGGGTTGTATAATCAGATGATGAAGGCTTATGGGCTACATAGTCTTTGTGTCCAAAAGAGCAAGTGGGAGATTGTTGGGTTTAGTATGCTCTTTTCACTTAAGCCCAATAGTTTTAGTGAGTGAGCCTAAAGTCTAATTTTAACCACGAAGCTTAGGGTTAGTTTTGGGTTGGGCAGGGTATATAAACTCTCTTATCTCTCTAGTGCCTCCAAGTAGGGGTGAAAGTGGGCCGAGCTGGGCTGAGCTTTGTCCCGTAAAGCCCAAGCCTATGCCAAAAAATTTCAACTTGGCCCGGCCCGATAGCATAGTATGAGTCTAACTGTTAGCCTGTCTTGGCCCATTTATAAAAAAACAAATAGCCCGGCCCGACCCGTTGGCCTGTTAATTTTTAACTTCCAAGCAAATCATGAATCAACTCCACAAAATACTCAAATTCTATTGTTAAAACAAAAATCACAATTTTAACATCCAAACAGAACCATGAATCACAACAATAACTCATCACAATCTGCATTTAAGTCACTGTCAAAAGCAAAATGCTCAAACTAAATAACATATATTTCATCAAATCTAACAAGTCAATCATACTATGTAAATTAAAATAACTACATGAATACAACAAACACATCATGATGACTACAAGAGTAGCCAAAAACTTATCTTCATCTTCTCTCCCGTGCAAATACAATTCCAAGGTTACATAAGTTGGCAAATAATTTGTAAAAGTAGAAAAAAAAAAAAAACAAGAATAAAGAATAGAAACAAAAAAACCAAGATTAAGAAACAAAAAAACCTTTTTAATAGATTCACGTAGGCAATCTCACATGCTGAGATGTTGGTTCTTCCTACATGAAAATAAAGTCAAATTTCAATTAAAATTTAATCGAATATAATTAAATTATAAAATAATTTAAATTGATTAAATTTATACTTTTTGTTTTTTCTTCAAGTCATACTTATCACGTAGTCAATCTCCACCACATATTAAAGCTTGGATGGTATTTTCAGCCAAGCTAGAACGATAAGCATCAATAACTCTTTCTCCAGCACTAAATATTTGATTCTGACGCTACTATAAAAATTGGTACACCAAGTATGTCTCTTGCTTTTTGTGATAAAATTTTATAGTTTAAGCTATTACTCCTCACAATTCGAAGGTATCAAATGAAAGATGAGATTTTTCGTGATATTCGTAAACACGTACTGTTGCCGTAGGAGACTTTTCACATGACAAATAACCTTAATTTAACATAGAGGTTGAGGGAAGAACCTCTACAGCAATAGAAGCTTAAGCATAGCAATTTGTAATACATTTTTTGAAATTTCATACATTTTGAAAGCAAATTGAAAGACAATGTTTCACAGTACTCAGTAAAGAATATTAAAGTCATATAGATCCACTGCGTGAAAGGCTACGTGAAAGGTTAAACTTTTAACATCCTAGCTTTGATGCCTCTTTATTCTTCTTTGCAGTAATGTTTACCTGTCATTGCAATCTTTTTATTTCCAATGTAAAGAACTCTCCCGTCAATCATGACCGCGACCAAGAAAGAGACAGAAGGGAACGTGGGAGTGTGAGTGAAAGGGAAAGGGAGGAAGAGCGCTTGCGGCGAAGCAGAAGTAGATCTGAAAGGCATCAAAGTGATCTCGGCGACAGGGACTTTAGAGACAGAGAAAGAACTCTTCCTAAAATAATTTATAAAAAAAGCCTCTTTTATTTTCTTTAATTATCTGTTTCAGCCTTTCAGGTTAATTTATCTAATTGCAACTTTTCTTAATTCTTTTTGCTCATTTTATGTCTTCTATTTCCCATTGGCATCAGAAATTCCAGAAAATCCAACGAGGCTGTCGCCGACGTCAACGAGTTTGGTTAACCCTGTCCCAACCGGAACCCCTACCAGTTATTTAAATTTTATCCTTTTAGTTACTGGTTACAGATATGAAACACACCAAAGAGGTCGACGTTCATCATCTGAACGATTGCCCACAACCCCCTGATCCCTTCGAGTCATAGCCTGGAAGATCAATCGTAGAGCGGAAGTGTAACTGTTCGTGGTGCGTTGCCGCAGATCGTGAGGCTTGAGAAGGAGAACTGAACGTGAGAAATTGCATGCTCGCTACTTCACCCCACGTAATCAAAGCGGTGTCTTTATTCTTCATCACGTCGATACGATGCGCTTCGGCATTTCTGATGATATACCTTCAGATCTTTGCCCAAATTAAGAAGGCTAATATCCACACATTAAATAGGTCTATGCCACAAATGAATATTGGTATCATATATCAAATCTGAGGGTAGCTGAAGAATCTTCCTGAGGATCAGGATATCCATCACTTTTGTAAATGTGAAGTCTAGAGCCAGATATTTCATGAAGAGAAGATTTGAATGGCCATTGCGCAAATCCTTGAGAAACTATGTGTTGCCCATTTTGCTTGATCACTTGGGGGAGTGATCCAATCCGAGGCAGACACCACCAAATGGTTATTGTCGTAGGTTACCCCACGAAAGAACTTTTTAATGGAACACGCACGTAAACAGAAAAACCCTACAAATAGCTCGGGGCGAAGAGCTGGCCTACGAAGGATACAATAAACTTACAATGGCAGATGCAGCCAGAGTCCAGAAAGTCATTGCCTTTGTTTGATTCGTGGTTGACGAATAAGTCTATGTCACACACCTTGTGTGGATCACAAAGTTGCAAAACCTTATACAACTTTACTTGCAATTATTTCCTATTTTTATATAACCCAGCCAATTTTCACAAAATATTTATATTTTACGAGAACTTGTTTAATAATTAATTATTGTGTGTTTAGTTATTTTTAGTTACAATATTTTTAAAAAATTATAAAAATATTTATTATATTTGAACTTGTTAGAGGGGTATGGGAATATATGTTTTAGTAGATAAATATAACCGTAAAAATTGTGAACTTTAATTTTAAGAACAAGAAGGATTTTTTAGGGTTTTGTGAAATTTTTCAATTCCTTCCCCTCATTTTTTTAAACTCACAAACAAGGAAAAATATTAATAAAATTCTCTCTTTCCTTTTCTTTTCCTCCTAAAATTAACTCTCAAACAAGTCCTACGTGTCTTGCCGGATGTTTCATGTGAACACGCATAGAGGGAACAAAATTTTAGTGCAGATGCACTCACCTCGGTGCATCTATTTATTTATTTTGTGACACGTGAAGTGAAAACATTACATCATTTGAAAAAAAAGTAAATAATGTGATATTTTTTGTTAATGTGTCATAAAATGAATGAGTGAATCTATTGAATCTTCGATGCATATGATACATTAAAGATTTATTTTCAAAGAGGATCATTTGGCTAGTACAATACAATTTTATTTTTATTTTTAAAAAAATTTACAAAAAGATATAAGGAAAACAAAATTAAATGATTAAAACAATAAAACTTTTTTATGAATTATTGATCACGAGAACTTAGGGATAAATTATTATATCTATCATTTTTTCTGCTTACCGTTGCCTACTACTCTCTAATAACGTTAGATCAGAATCTCAAGAAAAAAGAGAAAGATAAATGTTAGTTAAGATTCTGATCTAACGTGTTGGAGAGTGATAGACAAAGATAGACAGAAAAAATAATAAGTAGAATAACCTATCTCCGAAAACTTATTAAAAATATGGGAGGAGTTATTTTATTATACAATCAAACATGAATGATATTTTATTTTATTTTTGGTTAAAATTTAATTTTAATTATTTATATAAAGTTAAATGATAAAAAAAACAATTTATTTGGCTCATGTGCTTTCAGCATTGACATCATACTGTCCTTTAAAACTGATACTCTCCTTTAACACTCCCTAATCTGGTTTGGATCCTCTCATTAGAGCATATTGCACACCATTCTAGTATCTTTGCTCAATGGCCAATGAAGGATATCTCCCACTCTATGAAAAAATTTGTATCAAGCGCAAATTTCAAAGAGTAATGGACACCTTGATTTTACTCCTACTTCTCTCGCTTCTCAGTTACCGTGTTTTCTCTGTCAACAGCAGCTTCACTTTCCCATGGTTCCTTGCTTTCTTATGCGAGTCTTGGTTCACCTACACTTGGATTGTGGTTCTCAACGCCAAATGGAACCCTGCAGTAACCAAAACCCACGTAGACCGTCTCCTGCAACAGTAAGTAATAACACAAAGCTGTTCATGCTTGCTTTGCTTGTTTGATATATCATGCTGTTTCAAATTTGATTCCTCATTACCGTAAATACATTTAGTTAGTGTTTGTCAATGAAATATAATATAAAATTATTTTTTTCTTTGCAAAGGATAATATAAAATCATTAAAGTCTCGTTTCTTATCGGCTTGAGCTGTTAGATAAGTTGGTACTTTTAGATGGTATCACAGTCAAAGTTTTCATGGAATTATAAAGAATCGATTCAACTCAAAACATTAAGCTTTTGAGTGAGAATTTTTTTAATAATTTATATTATTCTCTAGCACACCCCCTCACGTAATAGTCATTTGGACTTGAAGTGTGGATTATTACATAGGCCCAATTTTTGATTTACCTTATACTTATTTAATTCCACAAGTGGGAGGCGGTAAGGATCGAACTTGTGACCTAATAGTCACTGAAAAACTCTGATACCATGTAAAGAATCACTTTAACCCAAAACCTTAAGGCACTCAGTAAGAACTTTTTTAATGATTTGTATTATTATCTCAACCATAACTTTCTAGAACAATTAAATTAGCATAGTCCACACTTCAAGCAGATAAAAATATTGCTGTGAGGGGATAGGTAATAATGCTTCTTCTTTCTTATGACTGACATGCCTTATGTATGTACATTCTATTTTTTATCCCAATAGGGTACCTGAGCTTCCACCAGTGGACTTGTTTGTGACAACAGCAAACCCTGTACTTGAGCCTCCCATCATTACAATGAACACTGTGTTGTCTCTTTTGGCGCTTGATTATCCAGCTAATAAGATAGCTTGCTATGTTTCTGATGATGGGTGTTCCCCTCTTACCTTCTATGCTCTTGTGGAAGCTTCCAAATTTGCAAAACTTTGGGTACCTTTCTGTAAGAAATACAACTTGCAAGTCAGAGCACCCTTCAGATACTTCTCTGACGTTGCCGCTATCAAAAGTGAAGACTCATCAGAGTTCAAACAAGAATGGTTACGAATGAAGGTAAGTTATGGCTAGCTAGTTGTTAGCCAGCATATAAGATGAGCACCAAATCTGAAGAGTAGGGAAATTAAAAGCTATTTTCGAACTTATGTAATGCAAAATGTTTTTTTTTTTTTTTTTTTTTGTATTTTGCAGGAAATGTATGACAATCTTGGCCAAAAAATTGATGATGTGGCTCGAAAACCAATTCCATTTCAACTTGATGGAGAATTTGCAGCTTTCTCCAATACAGAGAAAAGAAATCATCCGAGCATAATTAAGGTAACAAGTATCCCAGTAAAAGATACTCAAGTAAATACCGAGATCGAGTACATTTGATGCTTTTGAGCTTCTATATAACAAATCTGAGCTTGAAGATTAAGAAATTTATTTGTGTTCTGATTTTTTTTTGTTCATAAAATAGTTTTGTAGAATAATTTGTAAGAATTGTTTTTCAGAATAAAATAAGGAAAAAATCCGTTTCATGAAATTGTTTTTAGAAGGGAACAGTGATCAAAATGTCACGTTTTGTCAAATTTTTTACCAGGCAAACAGTATTTTTTACCAGACTGTCACGTGTCATAATTCGCTACCACTGTTAGCGAATTTCGTGGCCAATAATCTCGTGACACGTGATCATATTGCAGACCAAATTTGCTACCAGTGGTAGCGAATTATGACACGTCAGTTTTTTTCTGTGAAAGTGTGCCACGTGTCAAAAAATCATTCGCAAACATAATTTGCTACAAGTGTAGCGAATTACGTCCTGCTTGACACGTGTCATTCTTGCTGACTGTGGATTCTGACGTGGCATAATTCGCTACACAGTGTAGCGAATTATTTGCAAACATATTTCTCTACAGTGTAGCGAATTATCTCACGTTACATTCTGGGAAAATTTATCGTTGACGTGAGAGTCTGATAATTTTTTTGACTAGGCGTGACAAAATGGTCACTGTCCCTTTTAAAATAGTTTTAAAAATTGTAGAACAATAAAGTCTGTTTGAAAAAAGTGGATGCTAAAGCAGTCCTTTTACTGCTCAGGCAGTGAGAGACACAAAATGTTCTTCAAATTTATATTTTTTTTCAATTCTTACATAATTACTATGTTGCCATTAATGAAAAAACAGTTCTTCATATTTTTTCATGTTTCAGAGTCAAAATTTAAAAAACAGAACAAAAACATCTATGAGATGTTCTCTAAATTCAGTTTTAAAGCTAAAACACAGATATACTTTTTAGATACGTTTTCATAGAATAACCATTACCAAGCAATTTTTTAAATTTTTTTGTGTTGAAAACTAAAAAACTGTTTTCCAAAACAAAAATCAAACAGAGCCTAATTTCTATTATATTAACGCATCACAAATTCTACACCTCTTCCTTTCATTTCTATTTAATTCACCAATTCTACTTATCTTCCATTCATTCCTTGTTTCCAAAATCATGAACTGTCAAATTAAAAAACTTCCCTTTTATATGAAATCCTAGCCGATCAAAAGTTATTATTGGATCAATAAATTAGTGGTGTCTATTGTAAATAACCTTGGGATACACCACCTCAAAAGCTAGCTCAAAAGATGAGAGTGTCCAAGGCCTTATAAAGGCCACATTAGTTGCACATCTAACCAATGTGAGAGTATATATCTCAACACGCCCCCTCACGCAAGAGCCCTTTGGACTAGAAGCGTGGAATTGCACAGGCTCAATTTTTGGTTTACCTTTTGTGCTTTTATTTATTTATTTTAATTCCACTTTAAAGTGGGAGGCGGTGAGGGCTCAAGCTCTGATACCATGTAAAGAACCTTGGGATACACCACCCCAAAAGCTAGCTCAAAGGGTGGGAGTGTCCAAGGCCTTATAAAGGCCACATTAGTGGCCCACACAATCAATGTGAGACTATATATCTCAACACGCCCCCTCACACGAGAGCCCATTGAACTTGAAGATGGACAATGCAACAGGCCCAGCCTACGTGTGCTAAGAAACGCCACAAGAGAAAGTGGGAGGCGGCGAGGCTCTGATACCATGTAAAGAATCTTGGGATACACCACCCCAAAAGCTAGCTCAAAGGGTGGGAGTGTCCAAGGTCTTATAAACTCTACATTAGTTGCTCATACAAACAATGTGAGACTATATATCTTAAAATTGGTTGTATGAGATAACTTGTGAAGATGGATAAGATCCATTTTGCCTAACTATGAACAAACCCGAACCCGTTATTATATTAGTTCAAACAACAACTATTATAAACATCATTCTAATCTATTTATTTTTGGCTCACGGTGAACGGTGAATATAGATAAGTTATCTACATTCGCTCCCAAAACAATGTTATTTTAGGTTGAAAAATTAAAAAATTATAATGAAAAAAGACTATTATAACCTGAAATAAATTATAATTACAAAAATAACTTGATTTTCGCCTTAAAAACGACGTCGTTTGAGGCTCAATTTAAATAAGTTATCTCAATGTAGAAAAAGCGAACCCTTTATTTTTATATATGTTCTGGTTCTTGCATGCTTGAAAAAAGAAAACCAAAGCAACTAAAAAGACTAATTTATCTTAGGTGTGGGCAGGTTATATTGGAGAACAAGGAAGGTCTTTCTGATGGGTTGCCTCACTTAATCTACATATCCAGAGAGAAGAGGCCAGAGTATGAACATAATTACAAAGCCGGAGCTATGAATGTGTTGGTAAGTTTATTAACTAATATTTAGTTCCATGGAATTCTGATTCTCGTTCTTAATAGTTAATGATCAAACACCAAATGTATTTTCAATTAATCACTCACATATCCTATCTCATATTTCTTAATAAATATGCGCAGACAAGAGTCTCTGGGTTGATGACCAACGCTCCCTTTATGTTGAACGTAGACTGTGACATGGTTGTGAACAATCCCAAGATTGTTCAACACGCTATGTGCATTTTGGTGGATTCTAAGAGTGGAAAAGACGTTGCTTTTGTTCAATGTTTCCAGCAATTCTACGATGGAATAAAAGATGACCCTTTCGGAAATCAGTGGGTGACTGCTTTTGAGGTGTTTTTTCAACTTCAAATGAAGCTCTTAGCTTACTCTTCAGCTACACATACATACCCGCTTATCAATGCCAGTATATCTTGTGAACTAAGAGGTTTGTAAACAAACATTTTCTTGTTTTGTGTGATGCAGTATATAATGCGGGGCATGGCAGGACTTCAAGGACCTCACTATGCTGGAACAAACACCTTCCACAGAAGAAAAGCTATTTATGGCCTTTATCCCGATGAAATCGAAGGTGGGAGAAAAAGCCCTTCCCTCACATGATTATTACAGAAAATTCACTCATCCCATATGTAACTTCATTATTCCAAATTTTCCAATGGACTCAAATAATTAATATATAAATTACAATATGCGTGAGATATATATAAGGGTAGGACTATGTTAAAAAGAAGGGTTTGCATCGAAACGACGTCGTTTTGGGGCGGAAATCATGGTGTTTTTGTAATTTTAATTTATTTCAAGGTTATAATAGTCTTTATCATTCTAATTTTTTAATTTTTCAACTCCAAAACGATGTCGTTTCGATGAACATTAGACAAAGTTGTCTAAAGTAACATTAGATACTTTTTTCCCTAAAAAAAATATTGTATTAAACAGTTAATCTGGTAAATTTTGAGTTGAATCGTTTCTTTACATATTCATAGTTGATTCTTATATGGTATGCCTAAGAGGCGATTATGATTTTGTATCTTTAGCAGGAAAATTAGCAGACAAGATATTAAAACAACAATTTGGAAGTTCGAAGGAGTTAGTAAAATCAGCAGCTCATGTTTTCAAAGGGAGTGCATATTCTCCTAGTGATATCAGTAACTGTATTGAGGCAGCAACCCAAGTTGCTAATTGTGGATATGAATATGGCACTTGCTGGGGTAAACAGGTACCCAACACAAACAAATATATTTTTATGATAATATTAACTTAAAATTTGGTTAATTAGCTTTAAAGATTTTGGTAATTTCAGATGGGCTGGTTATATGGATCAATCTCAGAAGATGTACCTACAGGCTTGAATATGCACAAAAGAGGATGGAGATCAGAGTGTTGTACACCAGATCCAATTGCCTTTGAAGGGTGTGCTCCTGGAGATTTACTAAATACAATGAAACAACAAAAGAGATGGGCCACAGGCCTCACTGTTGTCTTCTTTAGCAAGCATTCTCCTGTTATGGGCACTCTCTTTGGTAAGATCCAATTCAGGTCAGGCTTGTCTTATTGTTGGCTTACAAACTGGGGCTCTCGCTCTGTCTTCGAAGTTTCCTATGCTGCTCTTATTGCACATTGCATAATTACCAACACCAGTATCTTTCCCAAGGTTAGATTGTATTTTATTGGCAATTTTATATCACAAGCAGTTAAAAGGATTCCTTTACATGAATTTGGAGTTTTAATATACTAAATTTTTTTTTAACTCTTTTGATTTTGTTTTTATTCAAGGGACTTGGACTATGGATTCCTATTGCTCTTTTTGTGATTTACAACATACATACTCTAGTAGAGTACCTTGCTATCGGGTTGTCCATAAGAAATTGGTGGAACAACCAGAGAATGAGCAGAATAACAACCTCGACTGCATGGTTTATAGGATTTTTGAGTGCCATGCTTAAGCTCTCTGGGATATCTGATACAGTCTTTGAAATAACACAGAAGGAACACCCAACTTCTGATGCTGATGGAGATGATGCAGATGATGGTAGGTTCACCTTCGACGAGTCCCCAGTTTTTGTGGCTGGCACTACCATTTTTCTTGTGCAAATGACAGCACTATTTATCAAGCTTTTGGGGTTGCAACCAACAGCAACAGCTCAAAGTGGAAATGGGTGTGGGATTGGGGAATTGATCTGCACTACGTATTTGGTGATTTGCTACTTGCCATATTTAAAAGGGCTTTTTGCAAGAGGAAAATTTGGGATTCCTTTATCCACCATATTCAAGTCATCAGTTCTTGCATTTGTTTTTGTGCAATTCTGCAGAAGCACCGTTATTGGTTGATCACTTGGTATTGAATTTTTCTATATATTTTGTTCTCATATTTTTCTCAGCCTTCTGTACTTATTATCGATTAGATAATAAATTGCTGAAAGGTGTAAGTTAATTTTTACTGGATCCTCTCATGTCAACTTGTGAATTATAATCATAGAAGAATGTATCAATAGTAATTAAAAAGGAGAGAGAGAAAATATTAAATAAATAATTATAAAATAATAATCATTGATTTACCTTTATATAATTATGATTTTCTCACGTAACCGTATCATATTTTTCTTTACATGAGAAGATTCATTTCCATCGTGAGATAGAGATGTAAATAAATGGTCACCTAAAACAATTATCTACATTATAGCCTATTACCCTGTTAAAGGATGTGTTTTTTTTTTTTTTTTGAATACAAAGGAAATTAAAAACCAACTACAGCCCTCTAGTCACACGAGACCAGGCCATTCCCCTAACGTCATCACATAATAAGCTAACACATTCCTCCGGAGGCGAGTCTAAGAGCATTGTCTCCCATCCTTTAGTGGTAGCAAAGTTTGCTAACCAATCTGCCACCCTGTTTCCTTCTCTGAAAGTGTGAGAGAATTCTACTTGCCAATCATAATTCTTCAAAGCGTCAATCTTATTAAACAGCCCCCTAAGATTGTGCCCCTCAGCAACACCATCCTTTATCACTAAGAGCAACCTGAGAATCACTTTCAACAACAATTTTCCTAAACCCAAGCTCCCAGGCTGATTGCATTCCCACCAAGACTCCCCACATCTCAGCCATGACCGAGCTACAACTTCCCAGATTGCGCACATAGCCTTTCAACCGCTTACCAGAATCATCCCTCAATACTCCACCACAGCCACAGTTCATACAGCTTCTGTTTGCTGACCCATCTGAGTTCACTTTTACCCATCCTACAGGGGGAGGCAGCCACTGAACTTGAATTTCCCTCCTCATGCTATTTTGCAATCCAGATCTGTAATACAGCTCACGAGCTTCAACAAAATTCATGAGATAAGAAGATGCCACTCTTTCTGTATCTCCCTCCCTTGGCATTATATTGTCAAATACTAACCTGTTTCTTTCTTTCCAAAGAAACCAACAAACCAGTCCAAAAAGAATATTTCCATTACTCCCTCCCACCATACAATCTTTCATCCCAAGATTAATAACAAGCCAATCAAGAAAAGGTAAGGTACAAAATTCATGCCACAACTCAGGTTTCACCAAATTCATCCATACCTTTTTAGACCAGTAACACTCCCTTACAACATGTAGACAGGACTCAGGCTCCATGCTGCATCTGGGGCAAGTTGATGAGACCTCCAAATGCCTCTGGACTCTCCTTAGATTCGTGAGTAAGTTCTCTCCCATCAACATCCAAAGGAAAGTCTTGACTCTAGGAGGGCCATCCCACTCCCACACTGTTTTCCACTTACCCTGATCATGATTTATCTCTTCATCCCCCAACTTCTTATGTGTTTTTAGCATGAGGTATAACAAAAAAATAAAATAGATGAAAAGCCTAATATGATTTATAAGACTTTCTAGGCCTATAAACCAGATTGAAATAAAAAAAGATAAAGTTTCTCATTCATCAATTAAACAGTATATATAACAAGAGTTTAAATTATAAAAATTCTCATATAGTTTTTTTAATAAGATCACAAATTTTTTTAAATGAAATTTATAACAACACACGAAATAATTAATTTTTGGAGTTTTTTTGCTTTTAACAGCCTTCATAAATATATTATTTTATTAAAATAATTAAAAGGTTAGGCTATAGGCTTTTAGGCTGTAAGGGGTATAGATCTGAAGTAGAGGAGAGAATTGTGAATAGAGAGATAGAGTAGAAGAGAGGGAGATTGTCCAACAATTTTCTGAATATCTTCATTCACGCCCACTCCGTGGGCTATATAGCTAATTCTGTTTCAATCCTTCCTTTTGTTTCTTTTAATTTCTAATTACACAAAATAACATATACAAGAATACTAATTGGGCCATTTAGCTTATTGAAAATAATCCTTCAAGTATCCACGTGGTCTTTTATCACGATTGGGCCTCCTTAGTACCATCCCACTGGATTGCTGTGTAACATCCCTTTCCTCATCAGAACCAATCTCATCCTCAGGATGTACTGGCCCAATTGATTCTCCTTGTGTTGGGCAGATCTAAACGGACGGTCCACACGCATTGTCGGTGGGAATGTTCTGGAGGCTTGGAGAAAGAGGCATCCAGCTAGTCCTCATTAACTTTTGAGTGGTTGAAATTGTACGTCCTGTGTCAGACGGATGGCTACCATTGGTTGTGTCTACGGCCACATTAATGAACTCCTCTTTACCCAAGTCATCCCTTGGAGGAGTGGTCTGTCTCAAAAAATTACATGGCACTCTTTTTTCAGAACCAGCAAACTCTCTATTTTCGCTCTGCATCACAGACAAAGGTTGATCCTTTGAAAAGGTTTTACCCATAACAACTCTTTCGTCTTCCCAAGTGGACTCCTCCGGTGGTAATCCCTTCCACTGCACTAGTACTTGCGGTGTCTCCCGCCTTTGTCTCCAGATGGTACGTCGTGAAATAATAGCTGTCGGTGCATGCATCAGTGGTGTACTATGGAGATCTGTAGGAAAAGCGTGGATCTGGTGTTGCCCGTGAGCGATGAAGGGTCTCAAAAGAGAAACATGGAAGACTGGATGGACACGTGATCCGTTCGGCAGCTTGAGGCGGTAAGCTACTAGCCCGATACGTTCCAAAATCTCAAAGGGACCATAAAACCGTAGACTGAGCTTGTGGGAGGACCGTCGATGGACCGCGAGTTGGCTGTATGGTTACAGCCTCAAGAGTACTTGATCTCCGACTTGAAAGGTGTAAGCTTTTCGCTTCTTGTTTGCTTGTATTTTCATTAAAGTCTGTGCCTTTCTTAAGTTTTGCTTTAATGATGCTAGGATCAGGGAACGTTGGTGTAAATCTGTGTCTACAGCTTCTAACGGAGTGGATCCCAAGGTGTAGGCCAATAAACACGATGGAGGACGACCAAAGGTGGCCTGAAATGGAGTAGTCCGAGTAAAGTGATTGAAGGCAGTGTTGTAATGGAACTCAGCCCAGCTAAGGAAGCGGTGCCAGGTGGTTTGGTGGTCATGCACAAAACAACGGAGGTACTGTTCCAATATTTGATTGACCCGCTCCGTCTGGCCATCGGATTGAGGGTGGTACGCTGAGGAGAAGTGAAGCATAGTTCCCTGCAGTTTGAAAAGTGTCTTCCAAAAGTCACTAGTGAAGATGGGGTCACGATCGGAGACTATGGATCTCGGAGGGCCGTGTATCTTCCCTACAGTGTCCCAAAATACCTGCGCTACCTTGACAGCTGAATATCTCGATGGTAAGGCTGCGAAATGGGCTCCCTTGGTAAGTCTGTCCACCATTACCATAATATCTGTGAAACCCTCTGAGTTGGGAAAATGTGTTATAAAGTCCATGGATAAGTCTGACCAGATGGTGTCATGAATTGAAAGGGGTTGTAGAAGACCGTAAGGTGAGTGGTTTGGGGATTTAGTTTTCTGACAAGTTTCACATTGTTGTATGTACTGTTGAATGTCTTTCTTCATGTGTTTCCAGGTAAATGAAGCACCTACTCGGATGAGTGTTCTTCTGACTTCAACATGTCCACCAATTTTGGACGAGTGAAATTGATGGAGAAGGAGCAGTATTAGTGATGAGCTTGTTAGGACATAGATGCGGTTTCTATTGAACAGTAATCCTTGTTTATACAACCAATGTGGCCATCTAGCAGGATCTCTTTATAATTCATGTATAATGCGAGTATCATAGGAATCATGTTGTAGTTCGGACTGTAATATGGAATTATATGTAGATGTGGGTGCACTGAGAGCCATGAGCTCTGGTATAGTTGCAGTAGTGGTACCCCCCTCATGCTGGCGTGACAGGGCGTCAGCCACTATGTTTGATTTCCCTGGTCGATACTGAATCATGTAATTGAACCCCAACAATTTTGCAAGAAATTGTAGTTACTCTGGAGTTTGATCGCTTGTGACATCAAGGGATGCAAACTGCGATGATCTGTCCTGATAATAAAAGGCGTGCCCAAAAGGTATTGTCGCCACTTAGCCACCGAAGTGGTTATGACATACATCTCTCTATAATAAGTGGACTTTGATTACATGAGTTTGGGCAGCTTTCGGCTAAAAAAAGCAACTGGATGATCTGCTTGTAACAACACCCCTCCAATGCCTACACTTGAGGCATCCATTTCCAGAATAAAAGGAAGTGTAAAATTGGGCAAAGCCAAAATAAGGACGTTTGCTAACAAGTTTTTGAGAGCCACAAATGCTTGCTCAGCACTTACTGACCATTTAAAAGCATCCTTGGATAATAAGTCTGTAAGTGGTGCTGCCACAGAAGCGTAGCCCTTGATAAAACGACGGTAGTAACCCGATAAACCCATAAAAGCTCGTAACTGAGTGACCGATTGTGGAGTGGGCCATTCTTTCACAGCTTGAATCTTAGAGGGATCCGGGGATACACCAGCAGACGAAATAATATGGCCCAAAAACTGAATTTCTTAGACTGCAAACGAACATTTAGACTACTTAACAAAGAACTTATGATTTTTGAGAGTGTGCAGTACTTGCCTTAGATGATCGATATGAGCTTGGAAAGGTGGGTTGTACACCAGTATATCGTCAAAGAATATCACTACAAACCGTCTCAAGAAACTACTGAATACATGATTCATAGTGGCTTGGAACGTCGACGGAGCATTTGAAAGACCAAATGGCATCGCTAAAAATTCAAAGAGGCCATTGTGGGTCCGAAATGAAGTTTTGTGGACATCACGAGGGTTCATCCTTATCTAATGATACCCTGGTCGGAGATCCAGCTTAGAAAAAATTTGGGCACCATGTAGCTCGTCTAGCAACTCGTCTACTGTAGGGATAGGAAACTTGTATGGCACTATGATCGCGTTTAACGCTCTGTAGTCTACACAAAACCTCTATGTGCCATCTTTCTTTCACCAAAAGCACTGGGGAACTAAAAGGAGATTGGCTGGGTCGTATCACTCTAGTATTTAACATTTCGCTCACCATGTTTTCAATCTCTGTTTTCTGG